ATTTTTATATAATATTCTATATAATATTTATATAAACTTGTAGATTTATATAGATTCTATAAAAAAACATACTTGCTGATGTTGTAACTATAGTGAGTATTTCCATCCTAAATCGAATAAAAAAAATTAAAATGTCATATTGGAAATTCATAATTGACACCTACCAATTCCAATCCAGCACATCTTGGTGCATTCTGAAGAGTCTGTTCATGATATATATGGTTGTATCAATTGAATATGTTCTTTCAAGGCTTGATGCATTTGACTCAGAGTTTATTGGAGCTTCCAAACGTTCCGAACTATTCATAATTGAATCATTAACTTCACATAAGCAATAACCTAAACAAGAATATGTATGTATATACTATATACAAATGTGTCATTATGCGTTGTGCAATATCATGTCCTTCATGAAGGAAGGGATCAAACCGACCCACAATATAAGACTTTCGCACGAGAGTGGGGATTTGAACTCGATCGCATTTATCTTCTGTGAACTGACTACAATAATCCTTGAACACAGTGGTTTGATCCCAAGCTTGCTTTTCTAGTTTTCGATCAAGCCATGATTTTTGTTCTTTATTCAACTTAGATCGTACACTTTGCTTCACACCAGCATCTGTCATATCTATTATTCCGTTCAAAAAAATCGAATTCATAATCGTCTTGCCTGATTCAAGATCTTTGGATCGGCATTGATAGAGTATTTCAAGCAAAGTATTCCGAATTGACACATTTTCGGAGTTCAGATTCCTTATTTCCTGGAAGATTGGATAGCAATGAATGCATTTGTTATACGCGAAATGGAAGAAAGGACAATTTACCTCATGCTCAGTAAAATCGTACCCCTTAACTTCCTGGAAGATCGGATAGCAGTAAATAAAATAGTTATACACAATTGAAGTAAAACTACATTACCTCTTTATCAATGAAATAGTAATTATCTTCTAAAACCGATTCCTCGGCATCATCTAAAACTGATTCCTCGACATCGACTAATACTGTTTGAGGTTTAATTTGTGATTGTTGTCGTGCCCATAATTCCTGTATGGTATTAATTTGATTCAATAATGTGGCTGTTGCATGTTGCTATACGCACATCAAAAAGATTATCAAGTCAACTTAAAAAAATTTCATGATAATTAACATAACAATAAATACCTCAACTCTTAAAGGAAAGAAAGACGGACGTATCTTATCTTCAGGAGTTCGTTGGCGCTCCGATCTCGTACGTTTTATTTGATTTGGCTCGATTCGATATTCAAAATCATCCTAAAATATTTATATTTATATTATAGTTCTTACTGATTCTCAACTTCTAACTAAAAAAATGCGCATATATACCTCTTCATATTCTCTTTTTGATCCAACAATGAATGATCCACCAGTTATAGTCCCGTTGACAGTCCCGTGTATAGAACCATGTACAGACCCATAGTCCAAAAAAGTCGGCTGATGGAAATGAACTTGTTTATGTGCATGTTCGGACTCCCATTTCCGTGCCAATGTGCGATCGGGTCGAGAACCCTAGCAATGAAAAACCGGAAAATTAGTAATATCCCCAATCAACACATCTCCATTGTTTATCCGAATTTCTTATCCCACCCAAGACTTCAGATAAGCTTAGAGGTTATTTGTGCTTAAGTGGGACCAGTGCTAGGTCGGCATAGAGGCTTGAACATCAGATAAGCTTTGAGGTTATCCGTGCCCTAGCACTGGCTTCATGGCTCGACTTGGAGACTTGAATGACAAAGAGCTTAGAGGTCCCTGCCACGCCACAATTCCTTATCTATATTCTTAATCAAAAGATTCTTAAACTTGCCTCTTTATACTGTTTGTATAACTGTTGTGCTTTTTCGCGCCTTCTGCCATTTTCAGTTTTAATGATGGTTTCGAGAGAAGTGAGATAAATACCAATATTATCACGGAATGATTTAACGTTGCATTCTTCCAAGAACCCTATAATAGTCCATTCAGTGTATTTGCGATTGAAATATTCGTGCACTATATTTTTTGACATTGAGCTAAAAGAAATACGTGTAGGTAATTTGTAAAAAAATATTCAACCTCACGAACTTGGGAATATATTATTCTTTTCTATAATTATCAGTAAGTTCTTCCGTCTTGTTTCATTGTTTTACGGGGTATGTTGCAAAACTTCCATAGGAAGTATAAGCAGGTGCTTGTTCCTCGTCCCACAATAAATTACGCATAATTATAAGCCTTCTAAGGTAATACTTCATATGCGGAATTATTCTACGTAACACATGTTAAATGAATATCTTTGTATCTTTGTTACGTGCAAAATTATGTATAATGATGTTTAAACCATCATTACCAAATCGTTAATTCCAATTTATTTCTGTGTTTTTACGTATTTAATGTTATTAATTATTCGAGAATTATCACATTCACATCGCTTATATATTCCATCCACTACCATTTTGCATGTTTTACAATACAGATGTGAATGGTGATTGCATTCGTCACAAACCTTACACCCATGCTTCCATCCTCTAAAGATATGCCACTTTTCGATGTAATTTCGATTTTTTTTATTTGTTAATACGTTACTCTTATCTTTCATTGTTATATATTAGCCGAAAAAAATATATACGTGTTCTGAATTTTTTATCATTCACGTTATGTAATATCAATAATGTAGTACAACGTAAGTAAAATTCATTTTCCCGTTGATCTTCCTGATAATGCAAATAATTTTTTGTTACTTCAACAGATCAACCACCTATACTGGATATATTGTAAAAGTCAACAGTAAATAAATTAATTCTTAGCAAATGAATAGATTTAAAAATCAAATCATAGATAAAAGCTTTATTAATTTTGTAGATATATATGAAAATGACCCAGGCCAGTTAAGTATAAAATAAATATTGGAGTAGCGGATGTTTAAAGGGAGGAATAAAGCATGAAAGACTGTGCCTGCTGATCCCTAGACCATAAGATAGCAGTTCCTTCCTGCTACTTCATGTTATCTAACCATCTATCTATATCATTAAGTGTGGAACTTTTACAACTAATGTTATTATTATAAAAATTTTTAATTGTTGCTGTTTTAATTTTACCATCAAGGTCTTGGATGCATACATCTATCCTATTATACATTTTATCAAAGGTAAGATTTCTTGCATTCCTTTCTTGATCAAATATTTTTTTAAAGTAGTCCAGATAGTTGAGCTAATATTTGAATATTGAATTGGACCAGATCCTGTAGAATTTGATGATCATATAGAAAATGATGATCATATGGATGATAATGATGTTTCACTTTATTGATTAGATTCTTTTTTGCTTATGCTTTGGATAAGAAAGTATCATTGATTGATTTCATTTTGGTATGTCATAATAGTTCTTTGGATTGTTTTGAATTTATTAATGATTTGATTAAAATTAATGTGATAGATTTCTAGAATCTGTTTGATTTCATTATATTTTTCATACACATTATTTGATTATAGTAATGATATTTTGTGTCTCTGACACATAGTTGACATTATGAAAATTAATTTTGTGATGAGTTTATTATTGATTTTAGCTTTGATTTTGCTAATCTCTGTAGTAAGCTTTTGCACATGATACAAAAAGAAACATATATTAAAGATTCCTATACACAGAAGAGCATGATTAGAGAATATTATTATAAGAAGGAAAAACAAAGTAGTTAATGCTATAAAAGACATATTTTCTGAAATATGAATAAATGCATCTGCATAAGAAAAGAAAATTTGATTAGAAAATTAATCATAGAAAATACATAGATATTCAATTACAAGCAAAGATACTTTTATTTTTAATGAATTTGTTTTTATTAATATAAACTTTTATTAATTATATTATGATTTTTTATTTTTTTTTTAATTTTATAGAAGTAGTTATATGAAAGAAAAAATCTCTTCTTTTATAGATTAATAGTTATGCAATTAATTATTTTATATAAAAACTCAAACTTACTAGAAAAATGTTAATTTGTCATTGAAAAATAAAGGTAAGGTTTCAAATTAAAAAGTTATAGACTGAATAATAGAATAATATACAATCTTATTTAAAATTGTCAGGAGTATTGGCATACCAAATCTGTAGATCGAGCTTTACATATATGTTTTTAAAATAGGGCTATATTAATAAAATATACTACTCCAGAATAAGCATCATTAAGTAAATTTTATACTTCTTATTTATGATTTGCAAAAAATTCCCATTGATTATTTTCATATCATGATCTGCAAATGTAAATCAAGAATGTCTTATTAATAATTCAAGGTTGTGTAATGAAATATGTGCCAAAACTTTTGAATAAAAAATAAGTAGCTACATATTATGATCATACTAAACTAAGAAAAGATGATAAACTGTATAAACAAAGAATAGCATCTAAGATTTCAAAATTAAAACTAGAGAATCTTAATTTATTTTGAAATATGCAACTTATTGAAACCCTCTAAGACCCATTATAATGTGATGTAATTTTATGGTTATAATTAATTTTGTGACTATATATAAAATCAAATGCATCAAAAATATTATATATGGCTATTATAAAGCTTGATAATTAGATATAATAACATTTTCAATTTTCAAGTTTATTAGCAGTTTAACTTATGAAATAAGGAGGCTATGCCTCTAAACCTTTTGAGTCACTGTTTTGCAATAATACCAATCTTGAGCATGTTTTACAAATATTCTATCAGGTCTATAAAGCCATTTAATTACTACATGCTGGATTATTTTAGCTAAATTTATTTATTTTTTCCATAAACAATATACTCACTAGATAATAATAACTGATTGATTTTTTATATACAAAGTTTTAAAATATGTTACTTAACTTAAAAATTCTCTAAATTCAGAGTTATTAGCTATGAATTCATTTCTAATTAGATTGTTTTTTATGTAGAATATAAAGTTTTTTTAATGATTCTTTTTATTAATATTATATCCTACAGTAGTATTAATAAATGCTTATATATATATATAGATGGATGATACTTTGCAAATTATAACCAAGCTTCTGGTATTTTTAAGTTATTGATATAGTTTAAACCATATTCAGTTAATATATATTAGGTATAATTATTTTTTGTTTATTCCTTAACAATATTTATTGCAGAGCAATAGCTCTTTGAGTCTTGAATATTAGACATATTTATATTTTAAATACATGAATTTTATTAACTAAGATTTTTTATATTTATTTACTATTAATCAAAAAATAGATATATTCATTACAATAAGTAAAACAATTTAGTTAGGTGTTAATTCTTCCAGAATTTTATAATCCTTATATAAATATGTTGTTACATTATTTTGAGCTATTCACAATTTTGTATCTAGTGTGTTAATACTTCTCTTTGTTTGCGTTATCTTATACATTTAATAACTATAACTTCAATGCACTCTCCCAAATATATTTTGAATAAAAACAAGTAGTAGTAATAAATAATTCAATATAAGATATCAAGATAATTAATCAAAAAAATTTTATATCCTATATTATACTCACATAATTGCTAATGCTCTGGTTTTATTGAGTGAGTTAGACTTATGATTCTGATTGCATTCAAGACTGACAAGATGTACATTTTTTTCAATATGACCTAATTTATTATCAATTCGATTTACCATCTATTGATTAGGATTTTTAGTTTCATCCTATTTTTTATAACATTTTATTGAAACATTATTTACATTTATTTTTTTGTAAATCTTTTAATACAAGAATATAATCAACAAATAAGTTAAATTAATGATCTTTTTTTTTATCTTGATCTATATATTCTATAAGTTTTTTAGAAATAAATGGTTTCAATAAATGTTCAATAGCTTTCTTATTTTTTGCATCTTCAATTTTAGGAAGTAATAAGAAACCTTTAATTTGAATAAGTTGGCTCAAATATTCTATATAACCAATTGTGAAATAAATTAGATTATTCTAAACTAAATTTTTATTGATAACCCAAAGGCATTGTGAAGCTTTGAGTATCATTCTCTAACTGGTATGAATGATCATTGCATATCCAAGTTTTCAATCTATAGCCTTTTTTTTTCTAACATGCTTTGTAAGAATTTATCAAAAAGTATATTTAAAAGTAAGTGTATTATATTATTTTTTACTAGCTTTCTTTTTTCAGATGAGTCAGAAATTAGAACAAGACAATTTTGTTTGCATCCATTTTTTGAACTATAAATTAATAGGATTGGAATTTTGAAATATTTTGTACAATAAAGCTTAAGACATATTTGTGATTCAAGTCTTCAAGAAAGTTAATATGCTGATAGAATTTGATCTGAGGATAACTATTCCTTTTCAAGATATTTTTATTTTTCTATAACTAGAATTACTCTATAAAATAATTCTGATTGTACTCAATTATTTTTATGATACATTTCCTTTTTGAGTTTATATAATTTAGGACATTTGGCCTAATAGTTAGTTAAGACTTTCTCATAGTAATCAGCTTATTTTTTTAACCAGCTATGGAGCATTTCTTCAAAGAATGATGAAGACTGGGCATCATTATTACAACAAATTACCTAACATTTTTGCTCTAGTAAGTAATCTATAAACTTTTCTAAAATGTGTTTAGACACTATATATACTTCATCTTATATAACAACTCACAGGAATTTTTTTCTTCTATATGTTCAGGAGTTCACTCTTCTACACTATTCCATCTAAAGAAACTATGCCAAGTTTGGGCTTTTATCTTATAGTCATTTTGGAAGTTTTTGGCCAATGCATTTGTATAAGTGAAAACAATCATATTTGTCTTTAAAAATTTTAATAACTCATGTTGTTTTACTAGATTTACCTTCTCCATTGAGATATAAATTTTGATATTGCATAATAGGATCATAAATTGATGAAGCTGTACTATTTAAAATATCTTTGATTGATTTTCAATACCTATTCTTTGGCCATTATACAATATTAGCAACTGGTCTATATATTTTTTTACCCTTATTATGCTATTGACCAGATTGAATATTTCAAACTTCTTGTTCTTCTTGCTAATTTAACTGCTTCTGACAAGAATCTGATTTATAAAACCATTCCTTAAAGCAAAATCTGCAAACAAATAAAGTATGTCTTTTATATTCATATTTTACTAAAGACTTTTTTGTTTTTAGAAACTCTTTAATTCATTTTGCATATTCTGATTTTGAAATAAGAAATTCTTCTGGATCACTACACATTGCACAAGAAGAATAGTATGAACATAAATTTAAATCCAACTTTATCTCAACTTGCTTGAAGAATGCTAATATATTTTTAATCTTATATAAAGCCTCTTTTTGTACATATATAAAATCTGTAGTAATCTTTATTACTTTATTAGGATCAAATCTTCGAAGCATCTCTAACAAATTAATATATGCATATGCTAACATTGAAGCCTGCAAATGCATGTACTAAGGCTGATGACTCTCAAAATATGTAAGTATAAATCTGAGTGGGCATCTTTTTCTTTTAGCAAAAGTTTTAGCATCTGTACAATCTTTTATTAAAAAATTAAGTTCATTTTCATCTATTACAAGATGATGGGTAAGTCATTTTTCTTTATTTTTTCTGCTTTGTATAAACTTATCTATAATTGTACAACTAACATTTCGATTTTTTGATAACCATACTTTAGTCTGCTATGTAAAAAAAATAATTGCTTCCTCAATAGTTAAGTCTTCTAGAATACTGGTTTTAAGAAAATATTGTAACAATACTATTAGACCTATCTTTTATTTTTTATGCATTCTTCTTCACTATAATATGCAAAATATTTTTCATACCAAACTGGAATTACTGGATGTATATTAGAAGTGAACTTAAAGGAATTTACCTATGCAAATCTAATAATACCATCTTGGGACAATTTTCCATTTACTGCAACTTAGACAAGATGATATGTTGGATGCCCAAATCGATTAAACCATGATGCATATTCTTTTTTGCCTTATATACTTGCTAAATAGCATTCTTTTATATCAATACATACAATATTATTAATGTGATAACTGGATGCATTTTAGCATCTATTATGCCTATGCTCAACACAAGCTTGTCTTATAACATCATTTATTTTTTTAGATATTGAATACTATTTATTGATTTCATTGACAAGTCAGCTTTTAGCATGATTTGTACCAAAAATCTGTTCTATTAAGTCAACTATTTTAAGAGACTTTGAAAGAATCAATTTATTTTCCTCATTGATTATTCCTTCTTAAAATTGTCAATCTATTATATCATTAACCAATTGTTTGCATGCTTTTATAATTTCTGTATACTTTTTCTATATTTTAAATATATAGCCATCTTCTATAACAAACTAGAATATTGTTTGGGTTTTATCTTCTACTTCTATAAACCAGATTTCTTAAGAACCTTAAAGAGCATTGTTTATAGCTTTCCAAGTATCTTTCTTTTAATATTTGACTATTTAGTTTCTTGAAAAATGCTAGATTTAAGGGAATGCATAACCATTATGAACTACTATCTCGATTTCTTTATACTTACCTAATCAATATTTTTTGCTATTAAAGATAGTGCCATGAGTAATATCCAGTAATGTTATTGGTCACTTGAAAATTTTTTCTAACTCTGCTATATCTTGTACTCAAGCATCTAGAATGCACATTTTTTTCTTCTAATTATTTATTTTTTGCCACCAAATTTCTGTAAATCCATGTCCCCTTTTAGTTTGATCAAAATGCTCTATTACTTATTCAGCTATACAATTAAGTGCTTCATTTTTCATAGACATTAACTGATTGGTGTTTGGCTTTCAGATTTAATATAATTTATAAACTACTGCATTACTATTAAGTCTTTCTACATTGGATTCTATACTGACTTTTTTAACCAGAAATTTTTTATCTATTCCTAGCCAAAAACCTGGTTTTATTTTTTTTGAAAGTATAATATTTGGATCACCTCAGACATATTTACTATCTGCTTTTTTTAATTTATAAATAGGCTCATATTGTCAATAATTTTAAAGCTTTTTTTTGTTTTCTTAACTGATATACTGTATCATCTCAAATAAATTTTACTCTTATTAAATACTTATAATTATCAATTGTATTTAATATATTTTATGCTCACTTTTTAGTTATTCTGGTCTCAAAATTTAGCTTTTCAATTTCTGTAAACCAGGTTGAAAATGCATATTCAGCTTTATCTACTTTAAATATATCTTTTGCATACTGAATGCTATTTTGTCATGCTTCATGATGCTCTTTATTATCTGAAAATAAAACTGGCCAAGGCACTTCTATATCCAAATCTAGAAAATAATAAGCTTGAGGATCTGGATTACTAGGCTTGTTATTATTTGATTCCATTAGATCAAACTATTCTTTTTTTGTTTTTGGTATAGGGTTTTGATCTAATTTTTTTATTATTTTTTATTACCAGCTTTGTTAACTATTTTATTAGTCATCTATTGTTAAAAATGTTTTTTTTTGTTCTCCGTTAGATTAAATTTTGAATCTGGAATATTACTAGTTAGAAAGTTAACTACTAGTACATTTGATACTTTCAGGTAGTATATTGATATATTTTTATCAAATAAAATTAGATTACCTATAGGAGTCATGTTTTTAGATAATGGTATATTTTGTATTGAAGTTAAAGCTAGTATAATATTTTGTATTGGTATAGGTAAATTTTAAGGTAAGCATAGTCTTGCTCGATTTGAATCCAAATGCTTATCTTAGTCTTAGGTTTTTTTAAAGTTATTTTTTTTACAATTAGAATATGAAGGTATTATTTTACATGTTTTTTATTAAATATTATTTTTACAGATCTTTTGTTTAAATTAAAATTATTTATTTTTTATTGAGCAGTTACTAATTAGCTAAATATATATAGTTATTATTTAGGCTATCATTTTTTTTTCGAATTTATAAAGAAAAAAGTGTTATACTTGAAAACTAAATAAATAACAAATCTTCTACTATTTTATATCTGATTTTAATCAAATTTTTATCATTATATACCTAATTTTTATACCACTTTTACATATATCCTATCTATAATAACTAAAATAAAAATTTGGCTACAACAAAAATTGTATAGTATAAAAATATTTAAGCATAACTAAAAAAACATAAAATTACAAGATGTAAAATGATCATAATTATATAATAGCATTTATGTAGTGCATGCTTAATAGCATGTATATAGCTTAGCCAGATAGTATATATGTAATATACCTAGTAACATATACTCTTGCTATTTGTTTTACAAATAATGCATAAAATTCAGCTTATCAAACTCATGATAAGGCCAACTTAGCATTCAATAGTTCACATATAGGCCAATAATGAAAATCTGCTACAATATATAATAACAATGTTGTATTTCTGTCATCACTTGAATGATGATGATGTCAAATTTCTGTCATCATATAAAAAGGTGTATAAAAAAAGTTTGCTCACCCTCTCTGCTGCTGTCTGCTTCATCTAACTCTAAACAACAACAATCAAATATCTCTTCAACTAAACCTCACATCCTATTTTTTAGCTTTCAAATAGATCCTACTCTAACTACAATTATTGCATACACTTAATATTACTATAAATGCTTTATATGTGAAATTAAAAACATCCTTTATGTTGCAACTAAACAAAGCAATTATTCTTCAGACTATGCTATTTGCACTATTTTTAAAAATAATTTATTATATAGACTTTGTGTCTTTGGCCTATTAAATATTAAACTTAAAACCTCTTATACAAACTTCATCTTTGATATTTTAACAACAAACAACTACAGTTATAATCAAATCAAAATTAATTAGTCTAAATACCTAAACTTTCTTTTCTACTTCTCAAAAACAAATCATTTTTTCTCTTATTCTCAAAAAACAAATTATTTTTGCTCTTATTAAATTTCAACAAATAAAATCTGTTAACAAAATTCAATTTTTTATTCTTAGTTTTTTAAAAAAGAGAAAAATAACAAACAACAAAAACAAAAAAAAAAAGAAAACCAAAGAGATACTAGTAATGATCTTGATTGGTTTAAAGAATATCTAGTAAATAACTCAATAAAAAATAATATCAAACTTAATAATCCTATTACTTAACAACTTCTTACTTTTATTAAATTATACTTTATTGATATCTATTCAGAAAAAATTATCCAAGCAGCATCTGACAAAACTCCTGAATCAAAACTTAATTACAAATATCTAGTTAAAACTTTGGTAAGCAAAAGATCTAAATTTTTAACTAATCTTATCTATAAAGCAAATTCTTTAAATGACAAATCAATTTCTATTCTATTTGAACTAATCCACTCTACTTTTATTTTCCTTTTTCAAGAATTTACCACAACTCTTTTTATCTAACTAAGTTATCCAAAAATCTTTACTTCTTATAGCTTCATTTCACTATATACTACTGTTAACTAAAAACAAGTAGCTCTTAATTTGGCTTATCTACACCTTATTTTTCACAATAAATACAAAACTATTTATGCAGAAAAATTTTATGAGAACTTCAAACTCTATTCTATTTACTTTAAACTACACTATAATATTAGTAAAGATAATATAAACCAATTACTTTTTAAGATTCAAAATAATGACAAATTCAATATTAACATCTTTTTTAACATTTCTAAAAAATAATTTCTTCAAACATTTCAAATTCCTTTTCTAAAAAATCATTTATCTAAATTCAAAGTCTAATTTGAAAAATTCTTTAATATTTACAAATGATAATTCTATAACATTAATCAAGAAAAACTTTTAACTACATTAAATACCAAATTGGTTTTAAATTATCAAATAAATGTAAAGCATTTTTATCTTCTGAATTCAAAATCACTTCTATTAACTTCCTACAAGAACATTTTAAACTATGTTTTAAAGCCACTTTATATTATATCTATACATGTATAGTAAAAAACTGTACAACATTATCTAAAGATACAGAACACAATGTTAAAAACTTATCTTCTCTCTTCTTTACTAATTCATATAATTACTTTCTAGCCTTAACTAATATACAATCCAAAATAAAATAGATATATTCTATTCTCAACTTTTCTGTATTTAACAAAAACCAACCAAATGTTGTTACCTTTAACAAACCTATATCTATTATCTTTCTTCATCAACTTGCTTCCAAAATGAAAAATAATTTTACTGAACTCAACAATACCAAAACTACTAAATACAAAAAAGCTATATTTTTATAGTTTTTTCAAAGCATATCTTAGTGCTACTGCTGCAAATAACCAAATTAACAACCATTATCTACACCAAATTATTAACAAAATTACTAGCAAACATATTAGTACTGAGTATTTAGCTTAAGTATTCATATATTTTCATATTTTTAAAAATAACAAACTTTTTATTTTATTAATTAGAGAATCTTATAACAAAAAATTCTATTCTAAAGCTTAACAAATTCTATATTCTAAATTTAACATTAAATTTAATTTATCCAAAACCAAACTCATCTTTTCTAATTTAAATACAGCACCAAAACTAACACTCTTAACATTCAAAAAAAATAATAATTCATCTGAGCTTCTTGATAATAATATTATTATATCATAGTCAAATACTAATAATAATAACCAAAACACAAAACAGAATTTATAACAGAATCATATAACAACACTTTCTTATAATCCTTTTTAATAAACTTTTCTGTAGAGCACATAAATGCAGCCATCACTTCTAAGATAATAATGTTCTTTATATTTAGTAGATTATTTTTAAAAGAAAATAATATAAGAGAAGTGTCAAAAATCAAATGATTTTTTAAAAAAAAAAGGAGTAAAAAAGTTAAAATTATATATAAAAAACCTAACTATTTATATATTAAAAGAAGAGAAAAAAGATAGGTCTTTGATAAAAAATAATCAGGTGATTAATAACATGGCTCTAAGTGAACAGATAGTTAAGTCTATTTATATAAAGGACCAGATTAATAATAGCCAGATCCAATATACAAAACAGACTATAGTATCCTATATAGCTGTGCAAGCTGAGCATATAGTGAGCAAATCTACAAAAAAACTTTCTACTTTTTTGAATTTCATTTTATTATCTCATATCAAGGAAGAACTACAAAACTTATCTTACAATACACTATATGATCCAGACTCATGCTATAACCTGTGATTATCATGTTTAAACCTACTTCTACTTTCATGTCCTTAAACACTTAGCTTTTTTTAAAAACATATCTATTATTACAACTATTTACAACTAAACAATTTCAACTATACACTTACAATATTAATCAAAATTAATTATAGTGAATGCTATATATATTTACTACACAAATCTTAACTTTCATCTAAATATTTTTTTTTACAACTATCAGGCTATATTTATTATTTATCTATACCTATTTCTTTTAAATTTTTTCCAATAAACAATAACATACCAAATACTAATTTAATTATAAAAGAAAATAAAATAGACTACTCTTACTCTCAATTAGTAAGAACTATTTTAGAAGGTTATAATAAAACTACTATAGCTAAACAATACTATGACAACATCCAACTTAATATCTGCTATAACAAATTTCTATTTTACAACTATCTATCACTGCTTTCTTATTTACAAACTATTATTTCTTTCTTATAACATATCTATAACTTTGGCTATCTACCTGATAACACTTGTAGTTATACATTAACTATTTCTATTAAAAATGATTATAGTAAAGCTTATGTTTATCTTTTATCAGAAGCTAAACCATTATTTAATCACTTTATTTTACCAATTCAAACTATCTAGCATTATCTGAACATTCAACTAAAATCAAACATATTAATACCAGTTTTTTCTATACTAGCATCTTTAGCTCTTATCTTTAGTAATTTAACATAACTCAGAAATCCTAATATCTTATTTTTAAATCTTATAATCTGCACTCACAATGTGCAAGGATACAATAAAAATCTCAAATAGCAAGTTTGAAAGAATTATTGTATTACTTATTCCTTAAATATTATCAGTATTACAGAAACTAAAATAGCAGAAAATAATGTTATTACCAAATTTCATAACTTAAAACACTACTTCTATTACTGGTCATGTACTAATAGTTTCAAAGCAGAAACTGCATTTATGATTCATAAACATCTTACATCCTATATATATAATATTTTTACTCTTTCAGGCTATACTATTGCTATAGACCTCTTCTTCAAATATAATCACAAATTTCAAATTATCTCTATATATCTATCATGTGAAAACTCACAATTAAGATTTCAAATTCAAAATATTATTATTCAATAGATTTAAGAAGCTACTAACTAAAACATTTTATTTATAATACTAAGTAACTTCAATATACCACCT